TCCAGACCCTTCCTTAGTCAGGTTATATTGTTGATCAGGCTAGAGTCAGGTCGACTTCCCCTCACCACCCTTTCCCTCACCACCCTCTCCAACAAGTGTCCCCAATAGTTTTTTAGTTGTACTAGCGGAGTTTGACCAGCAGAGGGCACCCTTGCCATCATGAACGTCAGCTTTTCTCAGGCTCATTCTGGGGGCAAGGATAAAAAATTTAATTACAATAAAATATATATATGTATATAATGTCTGTTTTTAACTGCTGAAAGACAGTCTAAGTGATAAGCTTGACTCAAATATATTATTTTATCATCTAAATATTGGCAAATTTTATCTTGGGGAAAACACTCTCCTCTTCCTTTGAGAATACATTTCAGTTTCAGTGAACTTTTAAAAATTAATTCCTATTGAGATATAATTTACATATTATATAAATTTGTGTACAACTGGTTGATTTGATATATTTATATATTGCCACATGACTGCCACCTTAGCATTAGGTAACAAACACTTCTATCTCATTACATATTTATTTCTGTTCTGTGATGGGAACATTTTAAATCTAACTTCTAAGCAACTTTGAATTTTTTTAAATACAGTATTGCTGCCTATGGGCTTCGTGGAAGGCTCAGTGGTAAAGAATCCACTTGCCAAGCAGGAGATGAGGATTTGATCCCTGGGTCTGAGAGATCCCCTGGAGAAGGAAAAGGCAACCTGCTCCAGTATTCTTGCTTGGAGAATCCTATAGACAAAGGAGCCTGGCAGGCTACAGTCCACGGGGTCGCAAAGAGTTGGACACGAATCAGTGGTTAAACAACATTAATACCTTGTCGTCTATAATCATAATGCTGAGGGAACAAGCAGTTTACTTACTGCTTCTAGAGTCTCATGTGTAATATATGCCAGTTATATGAAATTTAGACATTTAATCTGTACAAAAAGAGATGTCTGTGCTTCCCTAGCGGCTCAGATGGCAAAGAATCTGCCTACAATGCAGAAGACCTGAGTTCAATCCCTGTGTCAGAAAGATCCCCTAGAGAAGGAAATGGCAACCCACTCTAGTATTCTTGCCTGGAGAATCCCATGGACAAAGAAGCCTGGTGGGCTACAATCCATGGGATCACAGAGTCAGACATGACTGAGTTACTATCACTTTCATTTTCAAAGAGATGTCCAAAAGAGTGTTCTTCAGTGTTGTATTTTTCTGTATCTTGGAATTTTTTTTTAAGGTACCCATCATGTTTACAAAAATATTAAAGCTATTCTCAAAGACAGGAAACATTAAAAATTAACCTCAGTGCCAATCCTTTGTAATTTTATTTTCTAACCAAGAAAAGATTCTGATCTGTTACTAATTTTGTGTGGCACTGGAGCGGCCGAAAGGAGATACCCCACATCCAAGGTCAGGAGGGGCAGCCGTGAGGAGATACCCCATGTCCAAGGTAAGAGAAACCCCAGTAAGACCGTAGGTGCTGAGAGAGGGCATCAGAGGGCAGAAACACTGAAACCACAATCACAGAAATCTAACCAATCTAATCACATTGACCATAGGGCCACCCGAGACGGACGGGTCATGGTAGAGAGTTCTGACAAAATGCGGTCCACTGGAGAAGGGAATGGCAAACCACTTCAGTATTCTTGCCTTGAGAAGCCCATGAACAGTATGAAAAGGCAAAAAGAGAGGACACTGAAAGATGAACTCCCCAGGTCAGTAGGTGCCCAATATGCTACTGGAGATCAGTGGAGAAATAATTCCAGAAAGAATGAAGAGACGGAGCCAAAGCAAAAACAACACCCAGTTATGGATGTGATGGTGATAGAAGCAAGGTACGATGCTGTAAAGAGCAATACTGTATAGGAACCTGGAATGTTAGGTCCATGAATCAAGGCAATTTGAAAGTGGTCAAACAGGAGATGGCAAGCGTGAAGGTCGACATTTTAGGAATCAGCAAACTGAAATGGACTGGAATGGGTGAATTTAACTCAGATGACCATTATATCTGATACTGTGGGCAAGAGTCCCTTGGAAGAAATTGAGTTGCCATCACGGTCAACAAAAGAGTCCGAAATGCAAAACTTGGATGCAATCTCAAAAATGACAGAATGATCTCTGTTCCTTTTCAAGGCAAACCATTCAATATCACAGTAATCCAAGTATATGCCCTGACCAGTAATGCTGAACAAGCTGAAGTTGAACAGTTCTCTGAAGACCTACAAGACCTTTTAGAAAGTGAAGTCGCTCAGTTGTGTCTGACTCTTTGCAACCCCATGGACTGGAACCCACCAGGCTCATCCATCCATGGAATTGTCCAGGCAAGAACACTGGAGTGGGTTGCCATTTCCTTCTCCAGGGAATCTTCCTGACCCAGGAATCGAACCCGGGTCTCCCGCATTGCAGGCAGACACTTAACGGTCTGAGCTACCAGGGGAGCCTTCCAGACCTTTTAGAACTAACACCCAGAAAAGATGTCCTTTTCTTTATAGGGGACTGGAATGAAAAAGTAGGAAGTCAGGAAACACCTGGGGAGAAGAAAAAAAAAGAAACACCTGGAGTAACAGGCAAATTCGGCCTTGGAGTACAGAATGAAGCAGGGCAAAGGCTAGTAGAGTTTTGCCAAGAGAACGCACTGGTCATAGCAAACACCCTCTTTCAACAACACAAGGGAAGACTCTACACATGGACATCACCAGATGGTCAACACCGAAATCAGATTGATTATATTCTTTGCAGCCAAAGATGGAGAAGCTCT